AGAGTGGATGATAATTTTTCTCTTTATTATTTTGGATTGTAAGTATTCCCCAAGCCACCACCAGATTAACTATATATACGCCAATGCCCTCTTTTAGTGAATAGTGACACACAAGTTCTTTTGAAGAAAAAGAAAAGGAGAGATTGTGCTGAATAAATTTTAAAAATGGGGTGTAGAAAATTCCCCTAGTAAAAACAGAACATAAAAGTAGTATTACTTTGCCAGCAAAAATGTGCAGCAAAAACTAGCATATAGTACGAAGTTCTTTTTTAGTTTTTATGACAGAAAATTTTGGCCCAGGACTATGCGCGGATCCCAATTATTTTCAGCCGAGAATTCACAGCTTCTGTTTTGGCATATCGTTACTCTATCTTCATCATCAGGCCTCTGCATTATGCAGCGCTAGCACACATCACGACAGGCACGATTCTGATTCCAGCTATGCAAATACAGTTATAGTAGTTATAAAGTAAGTAGTAGTGAGAACTGCAAAAGCAGTATTCCGCTGCCTTTGAAAGGAAGGTGCACTCAGCTGCCAAAAACATCTACAACTGCGCTGCGGAGTGGAAGTTAGGCAAAGATACGCAAAGCATTCGTGGTTGACGGAAACAAAAGGAAGCCCTGTTTGTGTGCAGTGGCGTGACAAAATATTCCAGAGGATAAAAAATTAAACGTTTCCTGATGTTGAACAGAAATTGACAGACTTCATATTCATAGCACTGCTAAGGCTACCATCAACATTCGTGCTTGATGCGCTTCAAAGTCACCTCCGTGAAGCAACTGCTGTGCGACTCTTGCGCACCGAGCTCACTGTCGCCCCGGGTGAGCATTCCGGCTGCAGCTGATTGATGTGGGCCTAAATAAACTATTTGAGGACTGCATCAAGTGCATGTATATAGAGTGGATGAAGTCCAGAGGGCCAGAAGTGATACCTGCCGGACGGTTGAAACAGGCCTTGTTAGCGATGCTGTGCACATGTATAGTGGAAGCTTGAACCGAAGCACTCATTTTGGGTTTGCATTCCCGAGTGCTCGATTTCGAATGCACTTGATGGCACTGAAGATAGGGTGCTGTGAGAGGACATTTGTGACATGTATTTGGCTTCCGTTTTGTTCGGGCTATGTTAGGGTGAAAACATTTTTTTCTCGCTTTTGCTACCAGCGAAATACACTTTGGATTATCTGCAGGTTCAGACTATACATGGGTTTTTATGGTGACACACCTAACATAAGAATTTGACGTTATCCTGCAGTGCATACGAGTCTAAAGGGGAAAATTCTCAGGTTTCAAGGCCTTTCAATTACCTGTGAAAGATCTTTCAAGAATGTCAAATATATTCCATATAGAAATTTTTTGTTATGGCAACTATTCCAGAACACTACATTAAGCTTTATTGCATAAGAAATATGAAGATTATATTTAACATGTCTATTAATGAACAACGATTTCTTAACACCCACTTAACTTCACTGCATTAATGCAGCTACTCAGATATCTCTTGTGTTGGCTATGTAACATTCCCCAGTTCTCCCATTTTATTTCCTACAGTCTTTGCAGACTGCTTGGTTACACTATTAAGCTGATATTACACCACATGTCCACTTTTTTTGAGTAATAATTTTCTGAAGCAGTCAAAACAGCAGCGACTACTCTTAAGTTCCTTTCTTCCTGCCCCAACCCAATTTGACCCTTGAAATACTTTTTTTTGAGTGTCTAAAGTAATCTTGATTCTATTTTTTAGCTTTGATTTATGAACTGAATTGGATATGAATCAGGTGCATGCAGGTATGATAAACCGCTCAGTGAGTATCCACTGTGAATGTACAGTCAGCATCTCTTAAGACAGAGAAAAAAATAAACGAACATTTCATGGAAGCCTATCACTAAACAAAGCACAGTTGGCAGCTTGAATTCTCATTTGTTACTTTTGGTATCTGGCTTCCACACAGCCATTACCTATTTTTCTAGCTTTGGCTGCATGAAGACAGTGATTATTCACTGAGCTGCTGATTATATAGCCAGACCCACTTATAACGATACTCAAGTTCCACGAGAATTCCATTGTTATAACCAATAATTGATATAAATTGGCTGCATCAAAAAAGCAAAATAGAAGGATGACTAGGTTTTGTGATTTCTACTTACTTTTCCGAAAATCTCGCACCCGATTATTTCCCAACATAGACATCCAACAGCTAGACTTTATTGCTATAATCAATAATGTGGCGGGCAGGCATTGCTGTGAGAGGGTTATTTTACCATAGAAAACATACAAAAATTGACGGTGCAGCAGCTCTTCATTATTATAATCAATATATTATTAAACCGGTATTGTTATAAGTGAGTTAAACTGTATTGGTGATAACCAACACACTGTTTCTAAAATTGAGAGTTTGCCAGAATGGATGCCTATCTATCATAGAAAGCAGGTCATATAGTCAAAATGAGACCACATTTCTGAAGAAATTCAAGGACTTTCAAAGGCTTTGAAAATGTACACCCCTTAGCAAAAGTATACGGACCATTTCCATTTGTATACATTTGCTGTCTGCGCCGTCTAGTATCATGCCATCTGCTGCTGAGACCATTTCTCTTACCAATTTCATCAAAGTAATGCCCTATAGAGCTATTCTGTCAAAGCAATGCTCTCGAGAGCAGACAATTTACGACAAGGCCATATAGACTGCGATTTTGACTCGTGCTTCTGTACTCCATATAATTTTGCTCACATGCTGTACTTCTCAATTTCGAGGGTTTTAAAAAGTTTTAAGATCCTGTATGCTCCTTGTGAAAGAGAGCTGCTTGTGCATTCAAGAGTCTTAAAGTAATAATTTATAGGCTTATGTTGATTTGCCTGTGATCATATAAACACAAACCTGCTAAGAAAGTTTAGCAAAGTATTCAGCTTTTTATACAAATTAAAGGAGCACTAAAGAGAAAAAAGCATTTCCCTTGTGATTGCAAATTAGCCTACCACAGTACCAAAAACACCCCTCTTGCTATGAAAATATGCTTGGTAAGCGATAAAAGGCACAAAAAGAAAATGTAGGCAGTGACATTGTCTAGAAGTTCTTGCACTTGCCACGATGTCTCAGATTTTGACCATATCTGCCAAGGATTAAACAGTCTTTTTATAGGTAAAAATTAATTATATTTTGTACTTAAGGGGCCAGACAAGCTTCAGCAAACTGTATTAAGCCAACGGGGTTAAAATTAGAAAAAAAAACTGAAATCCATGACATCATGCTGAAAATCAGGTGCTGGTATTCCAGTGTAAATTCAAAAATGAAACATTGCTTTTTGTTTTTTCTTCTAATAATAAACCTTTGATTGTTAAATTAAACAGACCAAAGTTTTTAAAGTATAGTTATTCAGTACAGGCCAGTTTAGAGTTTCACTTTAGTAAAAGCCCCTCTACTCTAAAACATGAAGTTGCTACTTCATCTGCTACCACTTGGCAGTGTTAGAGTAGGTGTGTGTAAAATAAATGCTGGGGTGTACCTGGTTGAATGCCTGTATGAATTTGAGGAGCTCGTTTTCCGAATGTGTCCAAATTATGAATATATCATCTAGGTACCGTTTATAAAGTAATGGTTTGATATTACAAGATGAAAGAAAATTGGACTCTATGTGGTGCATGAATATATATATATATATATATATATATATATATATATATATATATATATATATATATATATATATATATATTTGTAACTCAGTTCAGTTTAAACGTACGACCGAGACCATGCGCACAATATTGTAGACGTAGGACATCGGCACCAGCCTTAAAATGTTCAAAGTTGGGCCTGTTACATGACTCAAGATGAAAAGTCAGCCATTAACACGACGGGCACAGAAAAAGAAGGAGCCGCTTGTGTCGCTGAAAGAGGTTTGTCCTGTCGTTTTTCTTTTCTGTAGCCGTTGTGATGATGTTTTATCATGATCAAATTGGAGATGACCTTGATTGATTTGATTGATATGTGGGGTTTAACGTCCCAAAACCACTATATGATTATGAGAGACGCCGTAGTGGAGGGCTCCGGAAATTTAGACCACCTGGGGTTCTTTAACGTGCACCAAAATCTGAGCACACGGGCCTACAACATTTCCGCCTCCATCGGAAATGCAGCCGCCGCAGCTGGGATTCGAACCCGCGCGGCTTGCGGGTTAGCAGCCGAGTACCTTAGCCACTAGACCACCGCGGTGGGGCCGGAGATGACCTGAATCGCTCTAATATCTTCATCAGACTGCAATCCCCGTCCCCAGTGTTATTTTGACGCTTACCCATAGACATTACACAGTCACTTTCCGAAGTCAGACTTTGTATGCGCACCATCTTAATATTATGTGGGGTTGTACGTCGAAAAACCACTATATGACTATGAGAGATGCTGTTGTGGAGGGCTCCGGAAATGTTACCCATATGGTGTTATTTAAAGAGCGCTGACATCGCAAACCACTCGGACATCTGCCATTCACTTCATCGAAATGCGACCGCCACGGCTGGGATCGAACCCGCGACCTTGTAGTTAGCAGCTGAGTACCGTAACCATTATTCCACGGCATCGAGTTCTCGCCTCCATCGAAAGTGCGGCCGCCACGGCCTGGACTAGATCCCGCGACATGCGGGTCCACAGTCGAGCACCATCGACCGTCGAAGGTGGAATATGTTGGTTTTAACACAGCGCAATGTGTCCCGGCCGCCATGGTCTCACGCAAGATTATCGGCCTCCCATCACAAGCAAGCGAGCACGCTCTGTGACATTGATGCAGTTCAATAAGATTGGCAAACGCCGAAAACAGGCATGACGCTTTCAATAAAAACGAGAAACAAAATAATCGTAATGAAGGTCGTCCCAATCCAGCATACACTGATAGACTAGCAAAAAAAAGAGTGATGGGTATCGACAGATCATATTCAACTCTGAGATAAAGGATGGCAACGAAGAAAACGGGCTGTTCTGAAACGGCCGAAAAAAGCGCACGGATAAACTTACTGTAGCTGAGTGACGCGATCCGTGATACACATCTCCGGAGCAGGCGAGACCCCAGCCACTATTTCTATATCCAGGAACGCGAGTGCAACGTGTAACATGCCTATCTTGTAAAGAGGAAATGCCCCGCACGACGCGCAATAGCTCGGGGCGGAGAGAGTGCGTGTCGAAGGACGCGCGTATAGACCTTGTCGCGATGCTTACCGCTAATCCTCCGCAGCGATCTCGGCACGAACGTTCCGTCGTTATGGTCGGAAGCCTTGATTGTACCGTCATATCCCTCCTGCCATCCCCACGGCGAATAACTTCCCGCTGATAACACGAAAAGACTGACGTGACACGAACGGAAAAGGCCTCCTCTTCATTTTGCGTCATGACGCGCCAATGCACGCAGAGATGTTATCGAGCAGTAAAGATAGGCTTCATTGCAGTGAAGACCATAGTTTTTGCCACGAGTAGATTGCGAAGGAAATTAACTGACGTGTGTGGACCTGTCACGCGTAATCGCAGGATAAATATTGTCGCTTCGCCATTCACAGGAAGGAACAAGATGAATATATGAATATATATATATATATATATATATATATATATATATATATATATATATATATATATATATATATATATATATATATATATATATATATATATATATATATATATATATATATAGGCAATAAGGGCACACTTATTACAGCGCTCGTTTTTCCGTGTTTCTACACAATAATAATGAGATCTAACAGACAATAATGCCAAGGTAAGTATAGAGGAAGCTATTAGACTGAATTGTAATGTAAATGTGAAAAAAGAAAAGTGGATAAAAAGATAACTTGCCGTGGGCAGGAACCGAACCAGCGACCTTCGAATAACGCGTTCGATGATCTACCGCTGAGCTACCACGGCGGCTATCCTTCTAGCCACTTCATTGGGTATATATGTGAGGTCGGCGCCCTCAGTAGCCATGGCGGCGAGTGTGGCACACTCTTTATGAGCCTGTATGGCGTCACGTAGCACGTGAACTTATTGCAAGCTGGCAGCTGACCAATAGTCCCTCGTATACAACTTGAAGGCACCAAGTCTGCCAATAAAAGACGCTCGTTAATAAATAAGGGAAACAAGTGTATACTTAAGGGCACGTTTTTCTGTGTTTCGACACAATATTAATGAGATCTAACAGACAATAATGACAAGGAAAGTATAGGGGAAGCTATTAAACCGAATTATAATGTAAATGTCAAGAAAGAAAAGTGGGTGCAAAGACAACTTGCCGTGGGCAGGTTCGTTTCCTGAAAAGGTTCTTTTGTGCACTCTTACCAGCTTTTTGCCTTGCACCTGTTTAACGAGCATAATTATCCAAAGATTATTTATATTACTATTTGAATAAAGTCCTACGCTACGTTATCTCCGGCACTCAATGCAATCGCACACTGCGCTAATCAAACAGGCAAATTTAAAATATTTATCCTACAGCATTGGCGCCCGCCAGCACCAGTTCCCCAAACGTAGGACAATACTTGGAAGCACGTGCGAGCTGAACGTGTCGCGTGGATGTATCGCTGTGTGTGAGAGTGGCCGTGCCAAGAGTCTCGGTGTTTAGGAATTCAAGCTGACGCATTGTGGTGAGTGACACGAACGCGACGTTGCCTTTGTACGAACTTTTTTTTTCTTTCCGCCGCTTTTTAGTACTAGAGATAATTCGCTCCTTACATTCCCTCTTTATTTTACGTTATTAGGCTAACCGTTGATGTAATTACTAATACGTATAGCTGACTCCCGTCTGACGGCCACTGTCTTCTTCTATGCCTATTTACCAAAGTGTTTTTCATTTACTACCCCATCATGATCATCATCATCAGCCTGACTACGTCCACTGCAGGACAAAGGCCTCTTCCATGTTCCGCCAGTTAACCCGGTCCTGTGCTTGCTGCTGCCAACTACCCGCAAACTTCTTAATCTCATCTGCCCACCTAACCTTCTGTCTCCCCCTTACCCGCTTTCCTTCTCTGGGAATCCTGTTAGTTACCCTTAACGACCAGCGATTATCCTGTCTACGCGCTACATGCCCTGCCTATGTCCATTTATTCTTCCTGATTTCAGCTATGATATCCTTAACCCCCGTTTGTTCTCTAATCCACTCTGCTCTCTTCTTGTCTCTTAAGGTTACACCTACCATTTTTCTTTCCATTGCTCGCTGCGTCGTCCTCAATTTAAGCTGAACCCTCTTTGTAAGTCTCCAGGTTTCTGCTCCGTAGCTAAGTACCGGCAAGATACTGCTGTTATATATCTTTCTCTTGAGGGATAGTGGCAATCTACCTGTCATAATTTGAGAGTGCTTGCCAAATGTGCTCCACCCAATTCTTATTCTTCTAGTTACTTCAATCTCGTGGTTCGGCTCCGCGGTTATTACCTGCCCTAAGTAGACATAATCTTTTGCAACTCGAAGGGCACTATTACCTATCTCGAAACGCTGCTCTTTTCCGAGGTTGTTGTACATTACTTTCGTTTTCTGCAGATTCATTTTAAGACCTACCTTTCTGCTCTCCTTGTCTAACTCTGTAATCATGAGTTGCAATTCGTCCCCTGAGTTACTCAGCAATGCAATGTCATCGGCGAAGCGCAGGTTACTAAGGTACTCTCCATTAACTCTTATCCCTAACTGTTCCCATTCTAGGCTTCTGAAAACCTCCTGTAACCACGCGGTAAATAGCATAGGGGAGATTGTGTCCCCCTGCCTTACACCCTTCTTGATTGGCATTCTGTTGCTTTCTTTATGAAGCATTTAGTAGCATTTGATCCCCTGTAGATTTCTTCCGGGATGTTTATATATACCTCATCGACGCCCTGATTCCGCAGTGTCTGCATGACGGCTGATATTTCTACTGAATCAAACGCCTTCTCGTTATCTATGAAGGCTATGTATAGTGGTTGGTTATATTCTGAGCATTTCTCTATTACCTGACTGATAGTATGAATGTGGTCGATTGTTGAGTAGCCTGTTCGAAATCCTGCTTGTTCCTTTGGTTGATTGAATTCTAATGTTTTCTTTACTCTGTTAGCAATTACTTTTGTAAATAGCTTGTATACTACAGAGAGCAAGCTGATCGGCCTGTAATTCTTCAAGTCCTTGTCATCTCCTTTCTTATGTATTAAGATGATGTTAGCGTTCTTCCAAGACTCTGGTACCCTTCCCATCAGGAGACACCTCGTAAACAGGGTGGCTAGTTTTTCTAACACAATCTGTCCTCCATCTTTCAGCAGATCTGATGTTACCTGATCTTCACCAGCAGCTTTGCCTCTTTGCATGCTCTCCAAAGCTTTTCTGACTTCTTCTATCATTACTGGTGGGGTGTCATCTGGGTTACTGCTAGTTCTTATAGTATTAAAGTCGTGGTTGTCCCGGCTACTGTACAGATCTCTGTAAAACTCCTCCGCTATTTTAACTATCCTATCCATATTGGTAGTTATTTTGCCTTCTTTGTCCCTTAGTGCATACATCCAATTTTTGCCTATCGCAAGTTTCCTCTTCACTGCTTTGACGCTTCCTCCGTTTTTCAGAGCGTGTTCAATTCTCTCGATGTTATACCTTCTTACGTCGGATACCTTACGCCTATTAATCAACTTCGAAAGGTCTGCCAGTTCTATTTTGTCTGTTGTACTTGAGACTTTCATGATTTGACGCTTCTTAATGAGATTCTTCGTTTCCTGGGAAAGCTTGCCAGTGTCCTCTAACTACTCTTCCTCCAACTTCCACTGCACACTCCGTAATTATACTCGTTAGATTATCATTCATTGTATATATGCTAAGGTTGGTTTCCTCACTAAGAGCCGAGTACCTGTTCTGAAGCGAGACTGAATTCCTGTATTTTCCCTCTCAGTGCTATCTCATTGATTGGCTTCTTGCGTATCAGTTTCTGTCGTTCCTTTCTCAAGTCTAGGCGAATTCGAGACCGTACCATTCTATGGTCACTGCATCGTACCTTGCCAACCACTTCCACATCCTGCACGATGCCTGGGTGTGCACTCATTATAAAGTCTATTTCGTTCTTATTTTCGCCATCAGGGCTCCTCCATGTCCACTTGTGGTTTCCTCGTTTTCGGTAGAAGGTATTCAAAATCCGTTATTTATTGCGTTCTGCGAATTCTACTAGTAGCTCTCCTCTGGCGTTTCTAGTACCGATGCCATAATCTCCTACTGCCTGGTCTCCAGCCTGCTTCTTCCCTACCTTTGCATTAAAGTCTCCCATCAGTATTGTATACTGTGTTTTTACCTTACTCATTGCCGATTCCACGTCTTCATAGAAGCTTTCAACTGAAGCGTCATCATGGCTGGATGTAGGCGCGTAAGCCTGTACCACCTTCATCTTGTATCTTTTATTCAGTTTAATTACGATACCTACCACCCTTTCATTAATGCTATAGTATTCCTCTATGTTTCCAGCTATGTTTCTATGAATTAGGAACCCCACTCCCAGTTCTCTTCTGCCAGCCAAGCCCCGATAGCAAAGGACGTGCCCATTCTGTAGCACCGTATGGGCCTCATCTGTCCTCCTAACCTCACTGAGCCCTATTATATCCCATTTAAGACCCTCTAGCTCCTCGAATGGTACAGCTAGACTTCCCTCACTAGATAAGGTTCTAGCGTTAAACGTTGCCAAGTTCAGGTTCCAATGGCGGCCTGTCTGGATCCAGAGACTCTTGGCACCCTCTGCTGCGTTGCAGATCTGACCGCCGCCGTGGTCAGTTGCTTCGCAGCTGCTGGGGACTGAGGGCCGTCAGTTATTTGACGTATGCATGTGGGAGGTAGTGGCCAGATACTGCACCAGGGTGGCCAATCCTTCTCTGTTGAGGGAGTGTGTTCCCGGTGGTGGTTACCGGTGAGGCCGCACCCCAGGCCTCGTAATGCTTGTTCCATCACCACGCGGATTTTTTTCATCACCACGCAGCTAAATATGATACAGCCATTCTTTGGCAGCTAGAAACTTTTCGCGCTTAATTTCCATGCACTCCAAGAGCACGCGACGTATGCGCTCAACGTAATATTCACATGGAAATAGCCGATTAGTCGGAAAACAGGTGCGCGCAACTT